GAGGATAAATGAAAATCTGAAGCTTCGTGCCTTTGGGAAGTTCGCCTTTGAAACCGAAGGGCTGAGGGAGCTGACTGAAGTTGCTGTTAATACTTATACAATGATAACCACAAGTGTTGTTATACGCATAGTATTAGTACAGGTAACACACACACATATACATATATATATATATATGGCATCCGCTCGCGGCCGCACTCCGCTGCTGAGGGCAGTACCTGAGACAGGGCTTAGTCAAAATTCGTGAAAGTTTCAAGTTCGGGACCCTCATAAATATGCAAGCCAAAGAACCTAACGAAACCACATAAACCCAAGAAACCAAAAAACCCAAAGAAACAAAAAAAAACAAAGAAACCAAAACCAAACAAACCAAAGTCCCAGGGGAGATTCAAAACCAAAAAACCAACGAAACCAACGAAACCAAAAAAAACAAAACCAAAAAAAAACAAAGTCCCAGACAAAACCAAAAAAACAAACAAAAAAAACAAAGAAACCAAAGAAACCAAAAAAACAAAACCAAAAAAACAAAATCCCAGACGAAATCCAAAACCAAAGAAACCAATTTTTTGGTTTTGTTTTTTTTGGTTTTTTGGTTTTGGATCTCCCCTGGGATTTTGGTTTTTTTGGTTTTGTTTTTTTGGTTTCTTTGTTTTTTTTGGTTTTGGATCTCCCCTGGGACTTTGTTTTTTTTGGTTTTGGTTTTTTTGGTTTCTTTGGTTTGGGAGTCAACGACGCCTGCGCTCAAACCTGGCAAAACGCAGGGGTCGTTTTCCGACCCCAAACCGTCAATACGACAAGTTATTCTTCTACATGCATCCTGGAGTGTGAGAGAGAACGAGCGAGACGTGATGGACAGAGAGAGAGACAGAGAGAGAGAGAGAGAGAGGCAGAGACACAGAGAGGGAGTGGATGCGCGGTTTCCGTTCAACTGTGTTGGCAGGCGTGGAGGCTTATCGGCGTCAAGCCAACAGCCTCCAAGCTGGAGATCAAGAAAGCTTTCAGGGAGAGGATCAGGCAGGTACTGGGTTTGAGGGTTTAGGGGTGAGGCATTTGAAGTTGACCTTTTGAGTTCTAAAATGTACTCCTGCTTTTGACACCTCAACCCTACTTGGGGTTTGGGTATGCGAAGTAGATTTGAGGGTAGAGCTTGGCGGGTTCAGACCTCCTCTTCGTGAGTGAGCTGAGCGCCGCAGATTCGACGACATATTGAGAGGGCTCGACGTGTTTGAGATGTGTCGAATTTAGGATGTAGTGACTCTGGTGAGGTTAAGGATGGCCTCGTGATTTCCGAGCCCCTGGAAAAGGTCCCAGTCCCGCGCGATAGTTAGTTTTGGCTTTAGGGGTTGGGGTATGGGGTATAGTAGGGCTTAGGGTGCAGTGTCTGTAAGGGGATGTGTTGGCGTTTGGGCGACGAAGAGGACAGCACGGTGGCAAGCAGCAGGATAATACCCCACGACCCCAAGCCCTTAACCCCGAACCCTCACCCGTAAACGCTACAAATCTAGACCCTAAGCCTTCAACTCCAAACTTCTAAGAGCCCGGAATTTTTAGGGCCTTCGGAGCTTGTAGGGTCCCAGGGCCAATAGGAATTGGTTAGCATACGTTCTTATCAGGAGCTTATTTAGGTTGCGTTGCCCCCAAGATCTGCTTTACTAAGTGGCACTAGGTATGTGACAACATGGCAGCCCTCAGGGAGTTTCAGCGTTGCAGACACGAAATTCTGGGAGGCAGGTGCATCCTGACGTCACGGGGGACGACGGCACCATGCTTCGCAAGGCTTCCGGCTACACTCGGGGTTTACAAGGCTTTGGAGTGTTTGAGGCCTTTGTGTCGTGTGCTCCCGTCCATGTGTCTTCTGCAGGAATACAGGCATGTGCACAAGACTTAAACTTAAGTTGGCTTGTGAAGAATGCTTTCTTTCTTTCCCATGTAGATAAGCGTGTGTGCGTGTGTGTAGTTGTGTTCCTAGCTGTATACATACGTATCTGTTCATCTAGACTTTAGATGTTCATATGTTGGTGTCTATATACCATGGTCTCCCAACTTCATGGCCCTAAACCCTAAATCCAAACCCGACGCTGGGCAGCGAAGCGGCTCGTGTGTGGGAGCACGGACATCAAAAGATATACCGCCTGCTGTTCAAAGACGGCCGTTGCGACGGCAGCCCAGAGTGCCCTACAGTCTTCGAACTCTGTGGGGCGGCGTACTTGCTGCACCCAGCTCCACGATGAATGAACAAAGAATCCGGCATGCGGCGCGGATCATTGAGCAGGAGTGCGAGGAACTGTGGGATCTCCTTTTTGAGGAAGATGATTCCGGTACAGCTTCTTGGTTGTCTCAGTTGCGTAAAGACTTGGCTTGGATGCACAGTTGGACACCTACTGAAGGAGAGGTCCCGTCGGCGAAAGCTGTTGCGGACGAACTGGCAGTATGGTTCTCGGAGCACAGGGTCAAGTGCAGACTCAACAAAGCTCTGGAGCTTTAGGCCTTGTCGCTGCGTGCTTGGTATGTCTACCAGAAAGAAGCCCGACGAATCGGGAAACTAAAGGGGGTGCAGCACGAGGGATTGCTTGCATGTGACACGTGCTCGTTCAAGTGTTGTACTGGAGCGCAACTCGTAGGACACATGAGTGCAGTGCATGCCCACCGAAGTCCAACTCAACTTGTGGCTGGAGGGACAGTTTGCCGTTCTTGCTTGAGGCAATTTTGGACCCGAGGGCGCCTGCGTGCACACCTGTCGCAACCCAACGCCTGTTTGGCTTCTTTGTTGGCGTGCGGCAGGATTGTGAAAGAGGACTTGAAAGAGGGTGAGCAGTCGGTTACTGCAACGGAACCCGCAGTGCGACTGCGCGGTCCCAAACTGCAAGTTACGAGGATGGTTTAGTTGAGCTCATGGCTTTCATCTCGCCAGCGACTAGGGCCACTAAGTTTTTTGTCTGTCGGAGTGCGCAAAAGCTCGCACAGATCTCCATGCTGCCTGGCCAGAAAACCAAAACGGATGGGAGTGGCTGCGGCTCAGTGAGGTCCTTTCGTCTTGATAGCTAGATGGCATAATTAACGCATGTTTTTGTCTGGCTCCGCTACAGCAGCAGGGCCTTGCGACGCCCAGTACTTGGACTCACACCGCATCTCTCTCTAACCCGACGCAGGTCCAGGATGCCTACCAGCTTCTCGAGGAGCTCCGAGACCCGACCGTCTACCACAGTTCCGTGGAGGTCAGGGATTAGGGTTTATTGGTTCAGGGTTTAGTTTAAGAACATGTGCATGGACCTCCAATTAATCGGTTTGAAGTCGTAGAGCTTCGTAGAAGGACTACGTACGATTCCGGTTTAGGTTATGTTGGCTGTAGAAGCGAATCTGCGGCTGTAGAGGTGCAGAGCCTCGCAAGATTAGAAAGTTGACGAGGGACTGTAATTGCTTGGAGGTTTAGGAATTGAGGTTTCGGAATTGATTGTCGAGTTTGGCTTTCGGAAACTACGGCTACTTGCGGCGCGGGTGTAGGTTATGACCGTTGAAAAGTTTCGAGCTGCAAGAAGTCATCTTTTAGAGTTTAGGACATGTTTCGTAGATGGAGGGCCCCGATGGAGGGCGGTGTCTAGTGAGTGCACAGATTGGGGAGTTTTCATACGAAGAGAGCTTTGGGGTTCGCTGCTTGTTTTGCTGGGATGATACAGTGAATCATGAATCCAATCCAAAGGCCAGACGAATGGATTGATACCCTGGAATCCTAGGGCATGGATCGAAAAGCCCAGCAGCCCAACAGGCGTACACCTTAATCCTGAGGGCCCCTAAACCCTAAACCGTAAACCCTAAACCCTAATCAGCCCTAATCCTGAGGGCCCCAAAACCTGCAGCGTTTAAGTCCTTGGTCTGCGTGAAAAGAGGATGGCGTGCCGGAGTGGGCCTCGGGGTTGCTCCAGGCCACGCGGTTTTTTTTCTGCTGGATGGGTTTGTTTTTCTGTGAAGATTGTGGCAAAAGTTGTGGGGTTCGGGTTTGGGCTACAAAAGTAGGGTGCAGGTGATTGGGCTTGTGGTGTTGTGTCCGACTGTTGATGGTTGAGAGTTCAGGCTCTAGATTTGGGTGTTTGGGGGCCCAAGGCTCGAAGTCCAGAATCATTTACATTTTGGGATCAGGGCACTTGGCGCTTTCCGCGTGCGGGGTTGTTTAGAGATAGAAGTAGTGCTTTGCTGGTCTGCCGGAAGCACTCTTGGAAATTCCTCATCTGCGCCACCGCTTCTGATCATATTCTTGGGGTTTCCGACATCAGAACCCCTGACGTGCGAAAACCGACATGTCGCTGTGTTCGGCACATTGGATTTTGCACCCTGATTGTATGTCCGTCTGTTCAACGGCGGCTCGGGCACGGGGTCCATAGGTGTTTGGTTTGGGGCTCTGTACTAGTACTTAACTCGTTTAGACTGCAAGTGCTCAATTCAACCGAGCACCCTTTGTTTCAAAGCTCCACCGTCCACGGTAGGGGTTTTACGCTCTCACTGTTCATGTGTTAGAGCTTTGGGGCTTAGTGTTTCTCGTCCTCTTAGGAATGAGCGTGGCAAGTTCCCAGCAAAAGGTTCGACTTGATGTCGTGCAAAGTTATAAGGTTGTGCAGTTGATTATGAGACCCGAGGGTAAGATCCTCGATTTGGAAGATCCTCACCATAAGCCCTGGACCTCAGCCTCACAGTTTATGGACCTGATTTTGCCCCACTTCTCGCCAAGCCAGGGCATCGAGTGGACCGCAGAATGCGCTCCGGTTGCAGCGATATGAAGCCGAAAGCTCCAATCAGACAAACGAGAGGCTGGATGCCTGAGTCCTAGGTCTCAGAAGCCATAAGGTCTTATAAGGGTCATGGAGCAAAAAACAACCTTCAATCCAGGCGAACGTTCCGCAGGTCCTTTTGGAAGAGCTGTCCATATAAGTTAAATGTCATCTGGTTTAAAGCGGCACGTATCTTCCGAAATCCCCCTCCCCCAATACAGCAACGACAAGACAGCGACCAAAACGATGCGTCAGATTGCAGACTGTCCGCGGATTTACCGAAACTTATGCATCGCCGAGGGAGGGTGTGCCACGTGCGTTATGGAAGGTTGGTATAATGAACAACCTATCCATAACATACCTATCGCCTATCGCGTGGTTTGTTCAGCATTGCATATGTTGCGGTATCCCCCTCCTCCGACACAAAAACTAAAAGGCAAAGGTCCGCAACACCAATACGTCCGGATTTGGCTTGCTACCTACCTACCTACCCCTACCATGCCCTACCTACCTACCTACCTACCTACCTAACCTACCTACCTACCTACCTACCTACCTACCTACCTACCTACCTACCTACCTACCTACGAAGGGTGGAGTTGACGGCTTGTGGGCTGGAGGCTTCGGGATACAGCGGTTTATAGCTCCAAAGCGGCCCAAGCCTTGTGGCGAATATCTGGCTGCACCATCATTGCGCAGGGTCTCCACATGTACATGCACGCATGCATGTATTCATGCAGGTAGGTGGGTGGGTGGGTGGGTGGGTGGGTAGGTAGGTAGGTAGGTAGGTAGGTAGGTAGGTAGGTACGTAGTTGGGTAGCTACGTACTTGGGTAGTTGAGTAAGACCGGAAAAAGGCAGGCAGGGACAGGGAGGCAGGTAGGTGGGTGGGTATGTACGTAATTGGGTAGTCACATAGTTGGGTAGTTGAGTAAACGGGAAACAGGCTGGCAGGGGCAGGTAGGTAGGTAGGTAGGTAGGTAGGTAGGTAGTTAGGTAGGTCAGTAGGGTGTCCTGAACCATCTATGTACTTCTCATAGCTCCCTTTCTGCACATCGATGTTGTCAACAAAGGTAGCAGCTTCGCGGACTTCTTGTTGAAGCCGGACAACAAGGCTGCAAGCTTCAGCTTTCCGGTTTGGAGTTGGGGTGTGCACAATTGATCCGTTCGAGGCACTTCTCAACATCTACACCCCTTTCAGGATCTCACGCATATTCGAGGCATCGATTTGGGATTTTACTTTCGGGGCCTTTGGTGGTACGTTCTGCTAGTGAGGGAAGAGCCTGCGGAACTTAGGACCCAAATGTGGAATGTTGCAGGTGACTTCCGACTGCCCTAAGTTGACAACCCGAGACATTCTGAAACCATTGAAGGACCAGGGCTTGACCCGTGGTGATCACGGCCGGAGATTAAGCAACAGCAGAACGGCTATACCCAGGTTGGGGTCTTAACTTCAGTTTAAACACCCGAAAGCCGCACCCCACGCTGCGCAGAAATTCCTATTGCACAGCTGCGTCGTACCCCTCCTCTGGACCCCCCAATCCTCGTTGGATCAGCTCGCTTAATTCGCTTGCCAGGACCTGCACGCTCCTAGAGCCGCAAACTCCGAGCAAAGGCCAAGACCCAACGGTGAGTCCAAAATCCATCTGCACCTCCAATGCCCACGTGAAACGTGACAGTCCTAAATTGTCCCAATCCACAAGATGCAAGCGTAAGAATCGGCTCATGTCAAACACAAACCCGCAGACTTAATGTAACCGCAATGCAATCCGTTGCGCATGACCGGTGATCCACTTGGCCGCCGTCTAAAATCTCTGCAACAGCTTTAGTGTTTTGCAGCACGCATTAGCGAGCCCAAAGTCTGAAGCAAAAGGTGTCTTTCAACTGACTCGCATCCCCAATGCGAGGCTCTTGCTGTCGGCGAGCAGAGTGAGAGTGGCGTCGCCCCGAATTCGGTGTTTGTTTAGGTTTGGGCCTTCGTCCTGCTCCTACTACTACCGCATGTTTACGACAACGACCACGACCACGACGACTGCGACGACTACGACTACGACCATGCGACGACCCCGATCAAGACGACGCCTCCACGACCCCGATTATTACGACGTCTGCTTCCAACACCGCTTCCACTACCACTACCACTGCGATTACGATGACGACGGCGACGACGACCGGTACTACTACTGCTAACTCATTCCGCCACCACCATTACCACCACTCTACTTGCCACTACCACAACGGCGGCTACCACCACCATGACGACGACGACTGCCACTGCTACTGCTCCTGCTCCTGCTCCTGCTCCTCATCTTCACCGCTTTCATCTTCTACCACTACCGCCAGTGCTGCCACTACTAAGACGACCACTGGCACTGCCCACTTCTATACTGCTACTACGACTCTGATTGAAATGTAACAGTAATAAACTGCTAAATATTGACGTCCAATAAGAGGTAGGCACCATTGCATTTCATGTGTTCATACAAGGCACCGGCACGCGCCCATGGGCAGCGGCATGGGGCAAGTTCTCACAGCAGGAGATTTGCGGGTGAGGGGCGTTTTGCAAGAACGCCATCACAGGGATTCTGCTTGGGATGCTGCAGGTGGCAACCATAGTCTAGCAAATGGGATGTACTCTATGGCCCCAAACAAAACAAACCCCTAAGGCCTTAGCGCCCCAAAGCCAAAACGTGTACCTTGGACCCTAAAAACCGCACTGCGTAAACTCGAAGCCGTTAAACCAGGGCCCGGAGCCTTTGAAAGCTCCGAGATAGCCCAACATGGAAAAACCCCTGAGCCTCTAAGCGTTCCTCGGTTCTTTCGGGCCAAAAGGATGCCAACTCAGAAGCGCTTCGTCTCTCAGCTCGGTGGAGTTCAGAAATTAGGTTGGATCTGGAATTGCCGGCTGTGTGGTGCCGATTATGCTATCCAGACATTCTAGCTAGCTGCTGTTCAACCGTCCAAGTCCATTTGTCTTGTGTTGGCACATCGTCTCCGAGCACACTGTACAATGAAAAAGTACGCAACAGTATATCGTAGCATCTGGAGATCATCCGCATTGCTTTTCATTCGCGTGGTTAGACCAGGAACTCACACAAGGAAGTACCAAAAAGGAGGATCACAGTTTGCAATAAATCATCCAATGTGTTTGTAAGGGCTATGCGCCAGCCGAGTTGCCGGTTGTTTCGAGCAGTCTTTCGGGCCACGGTCTGATACGTTGTGCTACCATTGTTCGAATGGCGCTTCTACTGGTGCCGCCGCATGCAAGAAGGATATGCATCCGCCATCGGCCTCCTGTCACCGACTAAGTTGTTTTCCAAACCTATACGTAGTCGCCAAAGCTCAGAAGAGCCGGAAGATCCGATATAGTTTGGCGACGAGAAAATGCTTATTTAATAAAGGACGTTGAGCTATTCAATATGAGGCTTCAAAGCAAGAGGACAAATAGACTTACTTCTCCCACTCTGGAGATGTAGCTCAGCTTCGAAGGTGTTTGTCGGCAGTACGGCGTGAAGTGCCGCCTGGTCTACGTGGGAAGTGGCTCAGTGACCCTCCTTGCAGCAAGGGCGTCGGGAATTCGGAAAGTCGCCGGTTGATGAAGCTATGATGTGGGTCTGCAAGTTCAGTATGGGGAACTTGTCACAGCAATCTCTCAACAACCCTGGAAAGTCACAAGCAGACGACCGAAAGCTTGGAAGCAGCAAGCGCCAACATTGTACTCCACCCTGCTTGAGATCCTTGCAGGTGTCTGCATCGGCCGTCATATGCCAACCTCAAAAACATGTTCCGGTACCTTTACGAGATTAAAACTTCAGAAGCATCAACGTGCAGCAAAATTAGTTGCATGTGGGCTCACGGAACTTCTTCGCTTCGCATCCAACGGCAGAGCACTGCCCCTGTCCCCGTCATTAACCTTGAGGCCGCCGACCCCAAGTGCCACTCAAGAGCATGAGCTCAAAATGTTTCACAATAACCAAGACTTCAACTCAAAGCTCATAGCCGGCACTTTGAAGCTACTTGGTTTGGCCTTCCGGTTCGTGAATTCGGAGCGACAGGTGTAGGCTTTGGGAACTGCGGCTTGGGGTTTAAAACGGTGTCAAGTGTCTGGTTTTTGGTCTCCAATACAGCTGTGCGACTTCATGGAATGCCATGGAAAGGAGAATAGCAACTAAGGCTAACTAAGTCGTCATATTTAGCCACAGCCCCAAACGAAGATCATTGCACATCTCGCGATGTTTCGTCAGTCCGGAGCCACTGGCACGTTCATGTGGAGCATTGTTTAAGATCTCGGGTTGGGTAGCATGGATGACTGGGTTGCATTCATTGCAAGGCGAAGAGGAAAATAGGATTCTGGGCAGCCGATTGAGGATCTCGGATTGGGAGTTTCAGTCTTTGGGACTTCAGCTCAATATCTCTGGCCTTTGCCAAGGCGCGCGTGCGAACTGTTGAAATGGATAGCTCCAGCGCAGACCAGGCATCTCGCGTCGGAGTTGCTTAGTCGGTTTCGTTGATACAAACAGTAAATATTTCTGAGACAACTTGACAGGTGCTCGCCTTTGCTGAAGACACGCCTAAACTGGTTTCAGGAAGTTGTCAAAGCGATGTCCCTGTAAACCCATCAACCTGCACCTCAAGCATCCTCAAGCCGTAGCCACTTAGACCCCATGCCTTGCCCTGACACGACCACCGTGAGGCCCTACATCCCATCCGAACCCCCGAACCAAAGCGAGTTTATTGACGTCTCGAGTCTTCTGCTGAGTGTTATGGGCACATCGGGGAGCGATCACATCCAGTGGGAGGAGAAAAGTGCCCTGACAGTAGCACCAATTTCGGACCGCTCATGAATCAGGTCTGTATGTGTTTGAGCCTGTATGTGTGCGTGTGTGTGTCTCCACATCCTTCCAGTCCAACCGTNNTATATATATATGTATATATACACACGTACATATGTCTGATTGGCGTGGACAAACACGAAAGGCACAGAGTCTGTGTGGCGCACCCAGGGATTCCCCTAGACAGCTGCAGCGCAGAGCGTCCTTTCCGTTCCGGGTTTCCTGGGGAGCGGTCATAAGGAGAGCTTCAGCAAGGGCCGGGCTGCTGCCGACATGAACTGTCTTGGCTCACAAACTGGAATTCCCTCAAATCCTTTGGCATGAGCCCACAGCCCCCGAGCCCGAGGGCGCTGTCAGCAGCCGTCCTCCTTTGCCGCTCCTATTTTGATTCTTAAGCACTTCCCTAAACCCTAAACCAAGAGTCCATAATGCCCCAAGTGCCTACACCCTGAGCTTCGATGAAGGAGCGCACCTGGTGGAAAGACCAGTTCGTGAAGGGTGGCGAGCTGCCGGGCTTTGGGTGGATGCCACCGGTCGATCCAAGAAAGGTGCTGGCTCAGGGTTAAGGTATATAGGGTTTAAGGTTTGATGTGTCCAAATTGGAGTTTTGGCTATACTGGATCTCGTTTACGAGTTTAGGGTCATGGTAAATTAAGGCTTTGTGTTTTGTTGAGTTTATAGGCTTTTAAGCGATCCTGGTATGATGCTCGGTGTAGGTTCCTTTCTGGGTACCAGGTCCGGAGTCCAGGGGACCCGCTAGTGCCGAGAGCCACACGGGGTCGGCGGATAAGACATTCCTAGGCACGCAGGTCGTTGCCCTTGGTTCTCGTTCAAGTATTTACTGTATGACACTTGTGAGCAGAAGGAGTAGGAGGCCCATGTGGAGTCTACTTTGGGAGAGTTTACGGTAGCCTTGCAGTCGTTTGCCGCTTTTCTGGGCATTTCTTGTTTGAGAGTGTCGGTGCATGACTTGAGCGGGAGCAGGGAGTGCGTCCACCGCCAATGCATTTATCCCCAATCCAGCAGTGTTCAACTTAAGCACTGCAATTGCAGAAGGATCTGCACTCAGCACATGCAGCTGCAAGCCGGAGGAGGGCAACAGTGCAGGTTTTCACAGAATCTGATCCGAAGTGATCAGACCGCAAAACATGTGTGAGTTTATCCAGAAACACATTCCAAGATGCGATGCTAGGGCTGCTAGAGCGCAGGTCATCTCAACATATACGCGCCTCTCCATGCGTACATCCGAACGCTGCCCTACAGTCTCAGGGGTTTCAGGCTGACTTTCTCGTGCGAACAACTTGAGGCCCCACCCGACAACTTCATGTCCGAGCCCACTGCCCCACTGCCAAACCATCCCAAACCTCAAACTCCTGAACATCGACACATATATCGACACTATGTCACGCCAGCAGCGGCACAGAACTATTTCTGCCCTTGTATTCAGACCAGAAAAGCCAGCATTAGCAGCGGAAAGCCGGGGATATTTGAGCATGTTTCTGGAGCCATTAGCCTGCAGACGTCTTTGTGAAGTCACAGGTCTACCTGTTTTTTTCAAGCTTGTTACATCCATCCGGGATTGCGTCGTGATGGGTGTCCTGTTTCAGCATGGAGTTATGTGAGGCTTTCGCTGTCGTTCAACTCAGACGTAATTAGTAGGAGTGGTTGTTAACCCGCGAATTGGATAATAGCCGTAAGATCTGATGTTGAAGATTAAGAATTAAGACTAAGAAGAAGAAAGCGATGATGATGATGATGATGATGGCGATGATGATGACGATGACGGTGATGACGATGGTGATGATGACGATGGTGATGATGACGATAGCGATGATGACGATGGTGATGATGATGATGAAGATGATGACTGTGATGACATATTGGCTGTCGTTGTTAGTGATGAAGATGAAAGCACAAAGTTCTAATCACTGAGCCTGATCCCACGAATGGGCGAAGTATCCAAGTCCGCTATTGGTGGTGTGAGCCCCATCTATCCTTGCAGGAGAAGCTAGTTGGCTGGAAGACCATCACAGAGGGTAGCGAGCATCTGGGCGAGAAGAGGATCCGAGTCCCCGTCTTCGAGCCGGCTACTAGGATGCAATGATTCGAGCATCATCTTTAGCTGGGTGGCAACACCCCGAACTGTGCTTTTACCAAACAGCCGCCCGTCAGGCACCGTGGTCCTAGACTCCCGAACCCGAAAGGTCCGGTCTGTTTTGTACCCCCGCTGCAAATACAGCATGACGGCTTTCCATTTTCTCCGTGAGTATGCATGCCTTTGGCTATCATGACTGTGCCTATGGTCACCAGTATTTTCGTTGTGTCATTGTCGGCATATATGCTTGTGGGAGTAGTAGTTGGGAGGGAGTGCTATCAATAGCAGTGGTGGTTCCATGTAGTACTGGCCGTGGTCGCAGTTGCTCGTCGTCGCATGCAGCTCACATTTTGACACACTGCCTTCCTAGCTGCACAAGCCCTGTGGATATCCATAGTCCCACGTGCTAGGAATAGAAAGTCAGGCTTGCAAACCTCCACAGTTCTTGACAGTGTTAGGCTCTTCCGTTTCTTCTCCCATTGCAAATCACAGCTAACGTCGCGGCTTAACAAACATTCCTTGGCCTTGTGAAGATTGGGCATGGGCGTGTTACTTTTAATGCAAGCGGTTCGATTTAGCTACAATCCTTTCCCGACCCAGATATCTAAAAGAACCGAACTGACGTACAACTCCCAAACCCAGATCCTAACTTGAATGCCCGTCTTCAGCCTCCGAGGGGAGACATTTTTCAGCTGAGGGGTAGCGACTGATAGGATCCTCTGTACATAGTTATTGCAGAAACATCGAATCCCACCCCACCCGACATGTCCGTGCACATCCAGGCGCTGAGCACTCAGCACAGAACACTGCCTTTGTGCACAGGTTAAGGGAGGCATTCCCTACCTGTACTCTCCGGCAAAGCCGAGACAGCGGATATTCCTGAAGCCAAGCTGAAATTCGAGGGTTTCGGGGACCGAGTCTCAGGTC